TGCAAATAGAGCTGCCAAAACATGAGAATACAGGTCTCCATCCAACATGATTATTTCCATTCCTTTGGGCATATACCCAGCAGTGGGATTGCTGGATTGCACAGCAGTTCTATCTGTATTGTTTGAGGAACCTGCATATGGTTGTCCATAATGGCTGCACTAATTTACAGTCCCACCAACAGTGTTTTAGAATTCCCTTTCCTCCTCATCCTTGCCAGCATTTGTTATTCTCTGTTATTTTGATAATGGCCAGTCTAACTGGGTGAGATGATATTTCAATGTGGTTTTGATTTTCATTTCCCTGATGCTTAGTGATGTTGGACATTTTTTCCTGTGTCTGTTGGTCATTTCTATATCTTCCTTTGAGAAATGCCTATTTAGCTCCTTTGCCCATTTTGTAATTGGGTTACTTGTTTTTTTACTGTTCAGTTGTTGGAATTGCTTGGGTACTCTGGATAGTAATCCCTTGTTGAATACATAGATTGCCTAAATCACATTCTATTTCTGGCCTCAGTGTTACCATCTGTAATATTAGGAGTTAAACTAGATCTCTGCTTTTTTTATAACTTTCTAGGATTTGGTGACTATGTGCTCTGGTCCAGAAGAGGGACAAATGCTTCTGAGCCTTTCACTAAGACAAATCCTTGCATTCAAGCCAGAAAATGCCCACAGGCACTGACTCAGAGCCTATTTGTTCTTCCTTAACACAGTAATTATATATATATATATATACACACACACACACATTCAAATATACAGCCAGCCCACCACACCCATGGGTTCTACAGGCACTGACTCAGAGCCTATTTGTTCTTCCTTAACACAGTAATTATATATATATATATACACACACACACACATTCAAATATACAGCCAGCCCACCACACCCATGGGTTCCGCATCTATGGATTCAACCAACTGCAGCTCAAAAATGTTTGGAAAAAAAAAATTGATGGTTGCATCTGCACACAAACACACATATATACATATAAATATATATAAATCTTCCTGGTTATATGGTTCCCTAGGTGATAGTGGCTTGGCAGTAGCCAACTAATAAAAAGGGTGAAGAGAATGCTGGAGTGAGGCCAACAAAGAGAGGTGAACAGTCCCTCCTGACAGCAAGTGATAAGGGGGGACAAGGGAGGGAACAGAAGGAAACATATGACATGAGAGCCTGCCAGGTGCCAGGTTCAGGACTAGTCCTTCAGGCACTGTCTCATGTAAATCTCATGAGGTGGAATTATAGCACCCCTATATTTCAGTTGAGATTAAGGTTCAAAGGCCAATTTAAGCCAATGGCTATAAGCTGGTGAGAGGAAGAATTCCTAACAGTAGTAAATAGCACAGGCTTTAGATCAGTACTGCTCAATTATGGCTGTGATTTGGAGTTGCCTAAAGAACTTTTAAAAAAACACTGCTGCCTCAGCACCATCTCTAGATGTTCTGACTAAATTCATCTGTGGTGGGATCTGCATGTTTTTGAAAGCTCCCCGGGTGATTCTACACTGCAGCCAGGATTGAGAACTACCGCTCTACCAACAGACCTGCCTTCTGTGGGAATTCGCCACTGATTAGCTGAGTCATTTTGAATAAGTGACTTAATGTCATTGAATCTCAGTTTCCTCAACTGCAAAATGAGGATAGATGATGCTTCAACCTGATAGGGATGTTGTTGGACTATACTTGATATGTACATGTCATGTTTAACACCGTGCCTGGCATAGGGACATGCTTAATAATTATTAGCTGTTACTAGTATTAGGAAACAATATTTTTATAATCAAAACGAGGACCCAGAAAGTGCTTAATCATGACGGTGTTAAGAAAATAGGGAAGTAGACCATAAATCACATCGAGTTGGAAGAGACTTGGAATCCTCTGCTCTTACATACCCTCTCTCCCTTCAAGCAGACTGAAGATTAAGGACATCAGTGAACACAGAGTTGGAATTGGATTCATATTAGAGATATGTCTGTCCCTCAAAATGATTAGAATAAATAATAAATTGTCATTTTATATGACAAGTTTCATTCAACCAGAAAATTCCTGTAGGCACACTACACCCTCTATCCACCAGTGTTATATAGATGATGTATTTCTGGATTCACTCAGAAATACTTGCCATAGACTAAAAGCAGAGGTGGTTTCTTGTGTCACTGTGAGATTCAGATAATGGACACTTCCCTGTTCTGAGGAGTCAGAGGAAAGGTGAGACTCATCTACCCTGGAGGTAATTGGTGGTTGAGTTGGTACCAGTACGTGGAATATTTCAGATCAGCCCCACCTTTGCTGGCACTTTTAAAAACCACTGCTTTCCCATTGGTCCAAATTTGTACACAGCTCTTTCTCTATAAACTGTGTCTCCAGACACCATTTTGCACCAGTTGAAATAAATATAATCTCGTGAACAGAATGAGAAGGTGGGAAATGGCTCCAGAAGCATGTTGGGTGTACTCTGTGTGCTTGCAGGCAAAACCAGTGATTCATGAGGAAAATGAACACAGTCCTCAATTATTTGCAGCAGAGAAAATTACCTGTTGGAAGAAAAGGTGGGTGGGAAGGAAATGACAAAGAAAATTATAATATAAACAGCAGCATCCCCACCTTTTACATGCATCGCAATTGTAAATTTCAAAACTTAATCTCACATCAACTCACCACCACCACCGCCCTACTCTCCTCTAACTCCCCTGCCCCGGAAAAGGTACAGACATTCAGATTCTTTGGTGTTTTCATTCACTAGCTGTGCAAAAAGATATATGTTGTCATCCTTGCAGTGTTTAAACAATGAAAGAGCCCTTCTGAAAATAAATGAGGAAATGTCTGCATGTATCTTGGACTTTTGTGCAATACTAAAATCAAAAGGGGCTCCCTGTAGCACAGCTTTCATACCCCTCCAGAATGCACATTTGAAAACTAAAAGAATCGGGTCTTTTTATTATAGGGATAATGGGGCAGAATATTTAAAATTAAGATCTTCCTAGAAAATCTGGCCTATACTGTTTCCATGACTACATCCTAAAATGTTTTATTTTGGCGGCAGAGAGAGAGAGTGTCAAACACATTATTTCCTGTAATGCTCTCAGTAACTTCATCCATTTGATAGGTGAGGAGATTGCCCAAGGTCACACACCTAACTAGATGGCCAAGCAGGGATTTCAATTCAGGTTATTTTCAGTCCAAAGCCTGTGTTCTTTCTATTGCACTGAGAAAAGACCTAAGCTGGAAATGAGGAGTGACTTAGGGTGGTTCCTGTTTAGGACTCGGCACAGGAGCAGCCTGTTTACACATAGCTGAGAATACTCGCTTGCCCATGACATATTCTATTTCTTGCTTCCAATAATAGTGGCTTCCAGACAGATGGGACGGTGTGGAGCCACCATTTTAGATTACACCTATCATTACTCTGATTGACCACTGTTCTAAGTTTTCTCTGTTAAGACCTGCTCCCTGACCTATCATAAATCAAAACCTGTCTCCCATATTACTAATTACCACAGATAGCTATTGGCTAAAAGAGTACAGTCAGCTGGTGGAAGAGGCCAAAATGTGAGCTCTTTAAAGACTTAATTGAAAAACAGAATCATTCCTTATCACACCGTCTTTGTTTAGTTGTGTACTGCTCCCATTAGATTGTATGTTTCATAAGTGTGGGAACCCCATTTTATCATGTTTATCTTTATATTTCAAATGCCTAGCTCAGTATCTGACAAATGGAACATTCTTCAAAATAAGTAATGAATGGGTGAAGAAATGAGGGAATGCACAAATGTAAAAGTGAGTGTGTCATATGCAATTTGATGGGAGACGTACACAGGAGATGAAACTCCAGAAGGGGGAATCAAAATTGTTGAATACAGCATGGGACATGTTGAGTTTGAGATATCATGAGTCATCCAAAAGGAAATATTTGGAAAGTGCCCATTTGGGCATGAGATTCAGGATAGAGATCTGGCCTGAAGGGAGAGATTCTACATAAGGATGTTAGGAAGTGTTAGAGGTTGGAAGAGAATTGTCCCGACCCGCAGGATATACAACACAGACCCTGAAGAGGAGAGTGGGAACTGGACAAGAGATTCTACATAAGGATGTTAGGAAGTGTTAGAGGTTGGAAGAGAATTGTCCCGACCCGCGGGATATACAACACAGACCCTGAAGAGGAGAGTGGGAACTGGACAGGACAAGAGACACGAGAAATGGAGACAAGACAGTATTCTGATCAAGTCTCATTTATTATCCAGAAGGTCACAGTTTATATAGACAGCAGGAGGGAATCAGCAGATAAGGAAGTGAGCAGCCGATGGTTTACTGAGAAAACCGCAGGGCGGGTTGTTCTGGTAAATGGAAAATTCCCGTTATCTATGGCAAGTTGCAAAGTTACCTACACCCATAGTGCACAGGAGGGGGAGGGACGGAAGATAACAGCAAACAAGGCTCTGAGGCCTCGAGGCAATAGCTGGGCGGGCTCTTTGGCTCCGGACGGGCAGGCAGCCGGGCTCTAATGGCTCTGGACAGAGAATGCCACTCCTGTTGGTTGTGGGTGGGGTGGAGAGTTGCTAAGAGAGGACTCTGCAAAGAAGTCTATGGAAAGGCAATGCTAACGCTTACAACTTGTCAAACATACCCGTCCCCTTCTACCATAGACATATGGTGTCTAGACCTGCATGCTCCAACAGAAATATAATGCAAGCCACACTAAAATGACATGTGTCATTTTAAATTTTCTAATAGGCACATTTAGAAGATAACTTTGTTACCCCATGTATATTAAAAATATTTTCATTTTATCATGTAGTCAATGTAAAAATTATCAATGAGATGTGTTATATTCTTTTTTTATACTGAGTCTTCAAAATTCAGTACGTATTTTACACTTACAGGCTGTCTTAATTCAACTGGCCACATTTCCAGTGCTCCAAGACACATGTGGCTAGCAGCTACTGTGTTAGACAGTGCAGATCTAGAACAGTAGATCTGGTTATTAAGAGATGTCAAATATGCAATTAAAAAGCTACTACTACTGCTTATTCTTCTGTAAATGATTAACATAAGGGAGAAGAAATTTAATATTTCAATGTGCCAACATTTTATATACAGCATCTCATATCTCCCCAAACAACCCATGAAGATAAGTGTCATTGTACTGTATTTACTGGAAATGGAATTGAGCCTCAAAGATGATGGGTGATTTGCCCAAACCATACATCTAGTAGATAAAACTAGGTTTATGTGCCTCCAAATTCTTTGCTTTATTAAAACCTTCAGATTTTCAGTGAGAGAGAGAAAAATCACAAACTACCTAGTCACAGGTGATTCAAGCTTAGTGCCAGCTGAAAAATTTTTATTCTCATTTGTTTTTATATGAGAGTATTGAAGCAGGGACATGCAATGACCTGAGCCAAGCCCCCCAAGGAGATAGCTTCAGATCCATAGTTCTTTGAAATATTCATTGAAGTAGAATACCTGGGGGCACTTTTTCCCCCAAAACTAATTAATCTTAGAGCTGAGGGTTCTTTATATGTAAAGTAGGCATAATACCTTCTGTCCATCTACCTTCAAAAAGAATTTTTTAAATGAGGATTAAATAAGAGAAAGATGAAAAAACATTTCATTTCAATAGGTTTTTATGATTTTCATTATAAGGAGTTATTTTAGCCTGAAGCTGTGTGTTTCTGGATCAGAGAATTATTTCTTCATCAGAGCCTCTGTTCAATGAGTCACTCTGTGACCCATCAGTGGGGCAAGCTCAAGAAGATCAAATGTCTTATTTTGACTTTGGGGGTGCATGCACAAAACTCCAACAATGAAGGGTTTTTCAGGAGAGAAATCTTTCAGCTAATGAGCCTCTCTTTTTTTCAGGGTCTGTCAGCAAACTGGTGGAATTACCGGCACTTCCAACATCATGTAAAACCAAACATCTATCCCAAAGACCCTGACATTGACATGGGCCCACTTTTTCTGCTTGGAGATTCTCAACCTGTCAAGGTACATTAAGAAACCCTGAGCACTAAAGAAATGCTTTGGGAAGTGAACCCTGAAAGGGCTCACAACTTTGTCTTAGAAAGATCAAGCTGCAGGTTTTGACTTTACACATCTGAGAGCATCGCTTTTTTTAGGTCTAGGATATAGATTTGAAATAACAGATTCTGAATAACAGATTCTGGGGTTCTAAGAATAGAAGAATATTTGCAGTCATGACTCCATGACCTTGAGGGTCATCCAGTCTAACCTCCTAGAGCAGGAAATATGATAACTCATATCACTCTACTTGAGCAATCCCAGGGACAGACAGGTCCCTGACCAGTGCCTGTCATTATCTGAGGCAACACATGCCGATGTCAGATACTAGAACAAGATAGCTGAGATTGGCAATGATTGTCCAAAGTTTAACTATGAAAAGGAGAAATGTTCACCCAGAAAAGACAGGTCAGTCATTCAATAAGCACTAGATCACGAACATCTGAATATCTCACCAATTCTAGCCCAGTTAGAAGAGACTATTGTATTGTTAGTTAATTTTGGTTCATTTATACATGAACTGCAGCCCAAATGCCTTGTAAGACAGCTAGAGATTCCACCTCTAATTTGGATTTAACAGAAAAAAGAGGGGAAAAGTTATCTTCATAATTTCTCAGCTATTGATTTTTTTAGACCTCAAATTAAAACCAGCATGTAAAGGACTATTTAAATTACAAAGTTTTTATTTGGAAGTTTGATATGAAATATTTAGGAGGGAGTCTTCCTTAAACAAAGAAGGTATAAGGATAACCACAGAAAGGTATCTCTTCTCAAAGGGAAATGCTGGGTCCTGAGAACCAGGCACTTGGACAGAGGTTGCTATCTCTTCCTAGAAAGACTTAGGAGCTGTATAGAAGTAAAAGAGTGTAGCTTTGTCCGTTGTTGCCTGGGTCTATCTGGTACATAAACCAAAAATTGTGCAACTTTTTGAAAATAAGTTTTCCCAGCTTTGG